TGCTCATTATCCCTTAAAGTCTTATTCAACAGAAACTAAGATATTAGAAACTGTCTAGCCAGCCTCGGTAGCACATGCCTTTGATCCCAGCACTCAGAGAGGCAGAGGCAGGTGGGTTGCTGTGAGTTTGAGGCCAGCAAGGGAGTCCAGGACAGCCAAGGCTACAAAAAAAAAAACTTGAAAAATACATGGTTTGTGCCTGTAATCCCAACACTTGGGAAACAGGCAGCTGAGTTCCAGGCCAGATTGGTCTATATAAGTTTTGTCTCAAAGAAACAAAACACACAACTTCGTGGAGCTAAGTAGCCCAGGCCTCGAGTACCAGCAACTTGGATGCCTAGACCTTGGGGTTTTGTACTGTGTGGTGGCTCAGGTGATGTGGTAAGTCACATAGATCAAAGGAGCTGCAGGCAAGAGTGATTTGAGCTACATGTGCTGGCCCAGACTTGGCCTGCAGGAGACACAGTATCAAAAATGAGGCCGGACAGATGGCACAGTAGAGCTTTCAGTGCTCTTGTAGAAAACTTGGCATTCAGTTTCCAGTATAGGTCAGGCTACAACTGCTTTTTCTAGTTATGTGTATTCTGATGCCCTTTCCTAACCTACATGAATACTGCACACATTTGGTACACAGATCTACGCAAAACACAAGTGGAAAAAATTTTAAAGTTACCATAAAGGACAGAAGGTAACATACTTAGTTTCTGTGGGAATCCTTCAGTTCTCCCAGTAACCCATTTCTATAGGTTTTGTTGTCAACCCAACCTCTGTAACTCCACAAGCTTCTGGCCTTTATTTTCCTTCTCATGCAGATTGACTGTCTATAACTCTTACTGTTTTGGTTTTTTGTTTGTTTTTGACTTGTTTTTCAAGATAGGGTTTCTCTTTGTAGTCTTGGCTGGCCTAGACTCACTTTGTAGACCAGGCTGGCTTGGAACTCAGAACTTTCTACCTCTGCATCCCTGAGCACTGTACAACTCTTTATAAAACAAGGGTAAATCAAATGTTAACTTTAAATTCAGCCCCTTTCTAAGCCTAACCCAGAAATTTAGCCCCCTAATAAGCACAACCACAAGTGTGTGTGCTGTAGGAGTTTTCTTCATTCTTAACTACCACCCACTATGGCGAAGGACAAAATAAGACCTACAAATGTTGAAATAGAGGTCTTGAAAGGCTCACTCCTTTAATCCCAGCACTCAGGAGGCAGAAGCAGGTGGATCTCTTGAATTCCAGGACAGCAAGGTATTCATAGCAAGTTCCCAGACTTCAAGAGCCTGTCTGAAAAGCAATAAATAGGGCTGGAGAGATGGCTCAGGTTAAGAGCACTGGATGTTCTCCCAAAGATCCTGAGTTCAATTCCCAGCAACCACATGGTAGCTCATAGCCATCTATATTGTGATTTGTTGCCCTCTTTGGCATGCAGGCAGAATACTGTATAGATAGTAATAACTAAATCTTTAATAAATAAATAAATTGGGCCTGGAGAAATTGCTCAGAGGTTAAGAGTACTGGCTGCTCTTCAGAGGTCTTGAGTTAAATTCCCAGCAACCACGTGGTGGCTCACAATCATCTGTAATGAAATCTGGTGCCCACTTCTGGTGTATAGGTGTACGTGCAGGCAGAACACTGTAATAAATCTTAAAAAGTTTAAAAAAAGAAATTCCCACTCAGAGAAAAGAAACAAGGGCTCAGGTGCTGGAATCCTATCCCTAGAGAGGCAAAGACAGGAAACTTGCCCTCGGCCAGCCTAGGCTAAAATAGGGCCTGGGCTATGTAGTTCAATTGCTGTTTGCCCAGCCAGCCATGGTTTTGATCCCTAACATCACACAATCTGGAGTACATGAAATCTCCAAATTCTTTTCTAAGACCAGGCTTCTCTGTGTAGCCCTGGCTGCCCTAGAACTCATTCTGTAGACCAGGCTGGTCTCAAACTCACAGATCTGCCTGCCTCTGTCTTCTCAATGCTGCAACTAAAGGTGTGCACCACCACCCAGCTACTAAATAAGATTTTTTAAATCACTTGGGGGCTTTTTCCCCCTCAGCCCAACAATGGCAAGATGAGTTACCAGCAGCTCCTATAGTCACTCATGGGAGTTTGACCAGAGTTCTTTTTTGCCCAGGTCTGCTCCAGCTACCAAGGTCTGATCTGGAAATACAGCCTGAGCATGTGCTGGTAATGTTTCCATCATTGAAAGGACATAGGCTTCGTTAAAGCAGCCCCCTCATTGTTTGAGACAGTTTTCTTTGTGTAGCTCTGGCCTTGAACTCACAGGGATCTACCTGCCTCTGCCACCCCTAAAAGTGTCGCCACCATCACCTAGCCAGCAGCATTTCTTGAGTGGATTATTCATCACCTATCTTTACCTAAGGAAAGAGGTGCTGCAAGTCTGTAACAAAAAAGTAGACTCTAATAACTTAGAAGCCTCAGGTGGCTGGAGGCACTTGTTGCAGGAAGAGTTGGCAAGTTAGTATCAACAGGCAGGAGCATGGAGGGTCAGAAGAGCTTCCTTTAAGAATTTACAAGGATGAAACCATGATAAGGACTGCCAGCAGAACACATCTACAAACTGAAATCTTCTTCCCCAAGAGTTCCCCTTTCTGGCCTATAAAACCCCAAACCCCGTGTGCACAGTCTCCACTCCCTCGGAAAGACCGCTGCCATTCCCTGTTCTGATTAAATATGCCTGTGTGGAGCTCAGTCTTTTCACCTTGCCATCCGTCAGTTCCCCACACCCCAAAAGCAGTCCAAAGATCCAGAAATGAGCTCAACCTAGACTGTTGAGCTAGACTAGGATTTGGGGCAGTTAGATAAAAGCCAGCTTTTCTCAAGAACTATGAAACTGCTTCCCCTCAACCAAAATAAGTCATTTTCCTTACCTCTGGCAAAAGGGGCATATGGCTACCTATCAGCACATCAAAGCATATGCTGGAATCATAAGTATGTAAGTTACATATTTCAAAGTCCTATAACTAGCTACATCCTAGCCTTTCCTACCTCTTCCCTGTCCACCAACCCTGCAGCTACCCACTATGTACTGTTTCCTTTTCTCTCAATATATTTAATGAAGACATATTCTCTTTATCTTTTAAATATTTTCTGCTTCTGCATACCTATTTTTCCCATCATTTTTGCTGCCATCTATAATCCCAGGTTGCTCCCCCTACCCAGTTTCAGTGCTGGATACCAAACCTTCAGGGCTTCATATAAATTGTTAAAGTTCAGCTGCCGAGCTACAATCTCCAGGATTCCACCCTTATCCAGCCCCCATAAGAAAAGAATTCCATACATTACTACGAAAACCTAGCAGTTTGCTAGATTCACATTAATTTTGGTTTTATTTCCAGTCTCTTCTCTATATACTTCAATCAAGACTTATCAAAAGGTAAGTTTGCTGTTACATCTATTTAAAATGTTAAATGACTTTAGCTGGTAGGCAGTGTAGGAGAACTTGGCCAATCCAGATCCATCTTCCTCCACGTTGCTTTCCCATCCTGTCCGCTGCTTTGACAGTCTGGGATCTCATCCCTGTTTTCTTCTTAATACTTGCCCCGTCAGTTTGCCCACTTAATATTTCACATTGCAGTTCATGTTCTTTTTTTTCTTTCTTTTTTTTTTTTTCCACTGACACCAACAGGGTCTTTTTTTTTTTTTTTCTCTATTTCTAATGAGTTTTTTTTCCCTTGGCATTTCTCTATTTATTATTTATTTTATATGCACTGGTGTTTTGCCTGCATGTATTTCTATGTGAAGGTTGGATCCCCTGGAACTGGAGTTACAGACGGTTGTAGGTACTTGGAATGGAACCAAGATCATCTGGAAGAACAGCCAGTGCTTATAACCTCGGAGCCATCTCTCCAGCACCCCCCCACCCTTTTTTGTTTGTTTGTTTTCAAGACAAGGTTTCTCTGTGTCCTTGGTTGTCCTGGAACTCACTCTGTAGATCTAGCTGGGCTCAAAGTCACAGAGACCGGCCCCTCCTGAGTCCTGGCATTAAAGGCACACGGGTTTTTTGTGGGGTTTTGTTTGTTTTGTTTTAAGAGGGAAGACACGACTTTTCATGTATTTCAGGCTCAAATACCATCACCACAAATACCATCTCTGAAGATAGCCTTGGATTCCTGTATCTAAATATGCCGCCATAACCAGACTGACCATATCGTTTGTTACACGTTATAATTTCCTGTGTTTTAATGCGTGATGACGAATATACATCCAAGCCTAGCGTGACAGGAAAGCAGAAACATAATTAGGGTGCTTTCTATTTTTTTCCCCCCTGATGTCTGAGTACATGAGGGCAGATATATTACTCTGGCCCTAGACACATTAAAGACAGTTAATATATGTTGAATGAACGAATGATTAACCCACAAAAAAACCTCATTAGAGAAATATAAAACAGTGTAATGACCCATTTTTACATTCTTTTAAAATGGAATAAACTAAAGTGGCTTGTATCTAAGAGCATAAATATCTGCGGCAAAGCTAGAGTTCCTGTTCCGTCTCTGTCTCTCACCCCTCCTCCCCTCCTTCTTTTCCTGAATTTTTTTTTTCTCTCTTTCTCTGATTTTTCAAGACAGGGTTTCTCTGTGTACACCAACAGTCCTGGCGATATAGACCACGATGCGATCTGCCTGCCTCATGCCTCCCAAGCGCTTAAAAACGTGCGCCACCACCGCTTGGGCTTCTGTTTTCTCCTTTTGACGTTGGGCAAACGCACCACAATTTGTCATAAGCCATGTGTCCGGCTCTGAGTCTTCAGCTTGGACACCTAACGGGACAATCCATATTATTTTAACTCGTTCGGAACCAGTTCAAAAAAATCAATCCCAGTGTGCAATGCAAACAATGAGTCCAGTCGCTTAGAAACCACATATCCCAGGATGCCACGCTCCTAGACCCAGTCGGAAGGAGGTTTGAGGGAGGGCTTGGCGTTCTGGGAGTTGTAGTCTCAGGCCAGGTCCCGCCTCTAGAGCGGCTTTGGAGGCCTGCGTGTGGAGAATCAACCTCCAAGGAGAGCGGTGCCGCCCTACAACCTTCGCCCCCTGCCCTCGAATCTTTCCCACAACCCAAAATGGCGGCCGGTGTGGATTTTGGCGACCTGGAGCTATTTGAGGCGTTTGACCCTCAAGAGGAGTCAACCCCGAAGCCCGTTCACACCCGCTTCAAGGACGACGACGCGGAGGAAGAGGACGACGACGACGAGAATGGGGTGGGCGACGCGGAGCTGCAGGAGCAGCTTCGGCGCTGCGAGGAGACCATCGAGCAGCTCCGCGCCGAGAATATCCTTCCGGCTCGTTGGGCCCTGTCACCTGGGACTTGGGGTCTCTGTGGCCGCCGGCGCGGGCGCGGCGGAAATTCCAAGAGGACCAGCATTCTAAGTCATTTCTCCCGCCGCTCGGCGGGCTGGCGGGAGGAAGTCTCCGTCCCGCTGCACTCGCTGCTGCGCGGCCTGCGCGCCAGCACCTCCCCGTGAGCATCCTTCTGTATAGACCAGCCTGGCCCCCAGCTCAAAGGGGGTCACTGCAGACCCTTAACTGTCGCCTTGCAAACACCTGTCTCCCTCCCTCTGCGGTCACCCGGTTTTTCTTTCTTTGCAGCCAAGCTCAAGTTGAGACAGTCGTGGTGTAGTTTTACGTTTGAAGATGCGGGGATCGTAGCCCCGGAATTGGGATATTTGCAGACGTGCAAACGCTAAGAGTGCCCACTGTTATGCAGAATCGGGGGCCTTAAATAGTTAGCATGCAAAGGGAAACGGCTAATTGGCGAGGTGGTTTTAAATTTTTTGGAGCTAGCTTTGCATTGCAGTGCTCTGGGGAAAACGCGCCAAATTTCCCCTTGACTTAATTAACTTGATTACAGAGTTTCTGGATTTGCTAGTATGTTGATTTCCGGTCTTTATTGAATCTGAGTGTACAAATAGTTTTGGTTCGGTTAACTTTCCATTTATTTTTTTTAATCTTTTGTAACTTTCCATTTAAAACGTATCGAGAGTGCTTGATATATCAACTTTTGAAGTCTGATTTTTTCATGATACTATTGTGACCTTTTATTAAGAAAATTTATAAAACAGTACAGAGTTGAAAGGATTGTGTATTTCATATCCGTAGATGCCATCTCATAGTCTCCTTAACATTTTGCTACATTGGCTGCAACTTGTTCCAGGAACACCATGATCTCATTAATAAAAAAGATTAATTTTTTCACGTCTTAGAATATATGTTCAAAGGAGTTAAAACTGCATTTCGGTCCATTGTCCTGTCCCCCAGCAAACATATACTCAGTGTTTCCCACAAAATACTTACAGGTTTTTACTTTAAATTTATAACATTTGGAAAACAAAAGCAAGAGTTTTAGTGTTTGAATTTTATTGTCCTGCATAACTGTGTTTCCTGAGGACTGATATTCCTTAACCAGTAATAACATCAAGAACTTAAAAGAAAATTGAACATTCTGACAAGACCCAGGTATGAGATCTTGAAATTACACCTGAGATGCCCATTACTGTTCACATGTCGTTAATCACAGCGTCTTTGTAAAAAGGTTGTGGGATTTTGATATCATTTATTCGGAATACTATGAAGAATTCAGTAATGGTTCTTTATTGTTGACTTATGAGTTTAAAGTAATTCTTGTAAATCGGCCAAATATTTAAACAGTCTTAAGGGTCTCTTTCCTGAATCCAGAAAATTTTGCTTGACTGTTCAGCGAAGCAAGTTAAAACCAGCTATTTACATTTCTGGAAGGATAAAATAAGTCTACAGTTACTTTAGGTAGTCACAGCTATTATTATTATTATTACTGTTACTTTTATTGATGGTGGTTGGTTGGTTTTGTTTTTTTGTGCAGGGTTTGGTTTACTGAGGCAGTGTTTCATCTCATAACCAAAACTAGCTTAGAATTTATTTTATAATTTAGATTGACCTTAAACGCATTGGTTCTTGTTCCTCAGCCTTGAAAGGGCTGGTATTACAGATACAAGCGACCATACTAGCATTGTTTACACAATTAAAGTACCTTATAAATACAAGCAGGGCAAGGTATAGCGTTTTAGTTTTGTTTTGTTGAGACAATTCATTGTAGCTTAAGGTGGGGCCAGCTTACATTGTAGCTGAGGATGACCTTGAACTCCTGCCTCCCTTCAGGCCTGGAATTACACCTGGTGCTGGCAACTCTGGCAAGGCACAACACTTTAGAAAAAGTAACGCGCTTTTGAGAAAGTACAGAATGTAAGCGTGTATTCAGTCATTGGGCATAACAGACATACTAAATGCTGGCATCTGGATGTGAATTTAACAAGTCACTAAATTAAATTATTTTATTTTTGAGTCAGGGTTTTACTTTGTAGCCTTGGCTGGCTTGGAACTCACTTTATATATACCAGGCTGGTCTTGAACCCAGGTGCCTCTTTTGAGTGCTGAGATTAAAAACATGTGTCACCATCCAGGCCTAAAGAACTAAATTATATAGAACAGTTGGTTCTTTCTTTTTTTTCTGCTCCTTTTCCCCATCCCTTCCTTCCTTCCTTTTTTGTCTGTGTATCCCAGGCTGCTCTTAGACTTGTGGTATGCCTCCTGCCTTAACTTTCCAAGTGCTGACATTACAGATAAGATTCCAGTTGAACTGTGCTCAGGCTTTGAAATTGGGATGTTTCCCTGTGCTTCTGTTTGTCTGTGTACTGTTAGGTCATGACTGAACTTTGAGGTGGAACTCATTGTGTAGCTGTGACAGTCGTGAACTTTTGAGCCTTCTGTCTCTGCCTCCTATATCTTGGTGTGACAGGCATGCAAGCTGTCTACTGATGTCACTCATGATAGTAGTTCAGGCCTTACACCAGAACTCACTCTGGCCCTTACTGGTCTTATACTGAGAAGAGCAGTGCTGCCTATAATTCCTAAGTTTTGTGACTCTTGAACTGTAATAGTTAAAGCAGTGTGCGTTGGCCTCCAGGAGTCTGTAATAAAATGAAGTAAGAATTCATTCAGTGTTTTACTTTTCCTTTATACTTAAAACCAAATTACTTGGAAACATTTAGAGGTATAGTACAACTTGCTTGCTTATCCTCTTCCCTTGTCCCCTGATTTGTAAGGAAACTAGAAACTAGTTAGAGAAACTTTGTTAAAAACCAAAAAATTAACGTATGGTTTGTGAAACCTTTTTTTTAAATGTTGAGATGATTTCTGGGCCAGACATGGTGGTGCTGGCTGTTGATGACCACTTGGGAACAAAGGCAGTAAGATCCCTGTGGGTTGAAATCCAAGCCTGATGTACACTGTGAGTTTTGGGGCTACACAGTGAGACCCTGTCTCAAAGAAAGAGACAAGAGATACAGACAGATACTTTCTAGGCTTGAGGAGATAGCCAGAAGTGTTTGCTGTGTGAGCAAGAGAACCTGAGTTTAGGGTCCCCAGCAGCTCTGTAAAATGGCACCAAAATTGACATCTGTAATCCCAGTGCTGCAAGAGGTTGGGGGAGATCCAGCCAGTCGTCAGATTCTGAGAGAAACCCATCTTTGGGAAGCAGAGGCTGGAGGATCTCTTTGAGTTCGAGGCCCGCCTGGTCTACAAAGTGAGTCCAAGTCAGCCAATTCTACACAAAGAGACCCTATCTCAAAAACCGAAAGCAAAACAAAGCAAGAGTTACAAAAGTTAGCTGGTTGTGGTAGTGTGACCTGTGATCACAGGACTGGAGAGGCTGAAGGAGGATAACCTCAGGCATGACATAGGCTAGCGTTACTAAGATCTTGTCTCAGCAAAGAATAATTGTTATCACAAAACTCACTTGCTTATACGAGCTATGTATGTACTTTAATGTCTTCTAAGATTATGTTTAACTTTCGTTTTAGTGGCATACTGGTGAGCAATACTAAGATAGACGGACCATTATTACAAATTCTGTTTATGAACAATGCTATTTCAAAGTAAGTAGTTTTTCTGTTTCTTAAATAAGAGTTCGTGTGTTTTATGAAACTGAATTCTGTAAATATACTATTTGTATATTTGTATCATCTTTATTCTCTCTCTCTCTTTTAAATTTATTTGGTTGCTTTACCCGCAAGTATGTCTGAGCATTACATGCATGCCTGGTGCCTGTGGAGGCCAGTTGTACTTAGCTATTTGTGTATTGGGAATTGAACCCTGATTCTCTGGAAGAGCAACCAGTGTAACCACTGAGCCATCTCTCCAGCCTTATTGATTGATTGATTGATTGATTGATTGATTGATTGATTTTGTTCTGTTCTGTTTGTCTGTTTCTAGTTTTCATGTGAAATGGGCATTTTCTTTTATATGCATTGAAAGTCTAGGAGGAGGATATGTAGGAATGGAGCTTTTCATTATGTAACTCTCTTAGTGGATTTTGTTTTTAGTTTCCTGGGATAGGGACTTCTCTTTGTAGCCCTGGCTGGCCTGAAATTTGCACCTCTGCCTACTGGGTGCTGAGATTACAGGCATGCACCACTATGGCAGGCTTTTTGTTTTGTTTTTTGAGCCATTTGCATGTAGCACCTATGAAGAATAAAAGCAAATATTTATAAGATTATGGATGGAAGATAGGATGGTTAAGGAGGATGGCATTGGAGGGGGGCTGTGAGGTGGATGGTGAAGTGATTCAGACAGTGTAATTAGGTATATCTGCCTGGCCCACAGTAAATAAGGCCATTATAAAATCTAACAGGTGTCTGTCTTGTTATTTGTGATAGCGGGTTAGATAATACTGCTGTGATAATCATAGGACTAATAATAAACATTAGATAGCCCAACACTCTTTATTTTTACAACATACCTATTAAAAAAAAATTATGTATGTGATATACAGAGCTACACAGAGGAATCCTGCCTTGAAAAGCCAAAACAAAAAAGCAAACAAACAAAAATATGAAATGTATAAATAAAATCTACTTATTCTCATAACTCTTTGACTGAGGTTCTATGCCAGACACCTACAGAGTATCAGAATCACACTGCTACCGGTGCTGTGATACACAGTGCTTCTAAGAAGTAGCATTCTGAGTTACAGAGTCACATTAGTGAATGTGACACACATGAAAAACAAAAACAAAATTGAGTAATGACTTTTTAAACTAATGCAAAGGACTTTGCTCGGCTAATGTTTCACTCTGTCTAGGTTTAACCATTTTGCCCTCTCCTACAGGCAATACCACCAAGAAATAGAGGAGTTTGTATCAAATTTAGTAAAACGATTTGAGGAACAGCAAAAAAATGATGTGGAAAAGACTTCCTTCAGCCTTTTACCACAGGTATTTTAAACTTGAGGCTTGGTGCTAAATGGGTATGCTTTTTGCTGCCAGCTGCTATTACACTAGAAATATCCTTGAGTCAAAACCAAAATGGTGAAGATTGTGTGCTGGCATCCTTCTCCAGAGTCTGACCAGCACTGCCACCTGGCTGGGATTGGTGCTGCTCTGCTGTCCTGCCTGGATTTAGTGCGGTTTTTTTTTTTTTTTTTTTTTTATTATTATTATTAATTGATTTTATGTACACAAGTGCTCTGTCTTTAGGCACACTAGAAGAAGGCATTAGATTCCATTACAGATGGTTGTGAGCCACCATGTGGTTGCTGGGAATTGAACTCAGGACCTCTGGAAGAGCAGCCAGTGCTCTTAACTGCTGAGCTATCTTTCCAGCCCCCTTGTATTTTTTTCCTGAATGTGTGTCTGTGAGTGTGTTAGATTCCCCTGGAGCCAGAGTTACAGACAGTTGTGAGCTGCTATGTGGATACTGAGAACTGAATCCGGGTCCTCTGGAAGAGTAGTCAGTGCTCTTAACTGCTATGTTATCATTCCAGCCCCTAACATTATTTTTGATCCAGTGAACATTTCAGAATTTTGTAATGATTTGAGGTCTGTGAGGTTATCAGTATTAACTAGTAATGTTAAATTACCCTTCTTTTTTTTTTTTGGTCCTTCTGGGGCTATTTGTTGTCAAATCTGCCTTGCTATTTGAAGCACTAGATAGTTAGCAGATAACCCTGCCTTGGCATCTAAACTCTAATTATGGCAAGAGGTCTTCTTTATGTGTGTTATTAAGTGAAGAAAGGGTGCTGGGGTTCCTAATGTTTGAAAGTCAAAAGGTATTCCTCTTGTGGCTGTTTGTAATGCATGTATCTTGATCTTAGCCATCCAGTGTTATATTGGAAGAGGACCATAAAGTGGAAGAATCATGTACCATTAAAAACAACAAGGAAGCTTTTAGTGTAAGTTTGGACTCTTTATTTTTAATTCTGCAGGTGTGTGTTCCTGTGTTTTATCAGGTGGGTGGCTTAATGATAAGGTGGTATAGTCAGTCACATGACTTCCTGTGATCACAGCATTCTTTTGTAATAAACATTAGTGTGGGTGTCACCCTCTAAATATCTGCTGCTTAGTGACTTGCGCTCTGTTGTGAGGACACAAAATAGCTCATTTGCAAAAGTTGGTGTTGGTTCTGACCTACCTCTTTGTGTTTATCTTTTAAATTTTTGACTAAAAGCCTGGTGGTGGTATGGCATGCCTTTGATCCCACCCCTTGGGAAGAGAGACAGTCAGATCTCTGGGTTCAAGGACATGAAGAAACCTGAAGAAGAAAAAACAAAAATCAGAAATTAGCATCAGAGAAGAAAAAAAAGTCCATGTTACTTGAGTGAAGTAAAAATTAGGAGCTGGGTGTGGTGGTGCACATCTGTAATCCCAGCATTTAGGAGGCAGAGACAGGCGATTTACTGTGTGTTTGAGGCCAGCCTGGTCTACAAAGGTAGTCCAGGACAGCCAGGGCTACACAGAGAAATCCTGTCTCGAAAAAACAAAACAATAACAAAAAAATAGGGTTTCTATTTCTTGTTTTTTTTTTGTTGTTTTTGTTGTTGGTTTTTTTTTTTTTTTTTTTTTTTTTTTTTTTTTTTTTTTTTGTTGTGTTTTTTTTTTTTTTTTTTTTTTTTTTTTTTTTTTTTTTTTTTTTTTTTGTCTATGATTTGGTTCTTCTTTTAATTATTAAACATACCTGTGGGTGTGGGTGCACACGTGTGTGTGCTGTGGTGCGTTTGTGAAGGTGTCAGAGGACTGTTTTCTGGACTTGGTTCTTGCCCTTCTAGCCTGTGGCTCCTGATTATGTATTCCAGTTGTCAGGCTTAGCATCCGAGCCATCTTACCAGTGCAAATTGTTTTATTTGTTCTATGAGACAAGACTCACTCTAGTCCAGGCTATCCTCAGACTCAGAGCCGTTCCGTTCTCCTGCGTTGGCCTTTGAAGTGCTAAATTTGCAGGGGTTAGCCACATTTAGCTCTAAGGTTTGTTTTGTTTTGTTTTCAAGACAGGGTTTCTCTGTGTAGCCTTGGATGTTCTGGAACTCACTCTTTTGTAGACCAGGCTGGTCTTGAACTCAGAGATCCACCTGCCTCTGTTTCTGGAGTGCTAGAATTAAAGATGTGTGCCACCACTGCCCGAATAAGGTTTTTTTTTTTTTTTTTTAAATTCAACTAGGTAACTTGCATTTCTCTTCCATCTCAAAGGCTATGGAATTAAAGTAATGCTTGTCTAGAATGAGAGTTTTATAGTTATCACTTTAGTCCTTTAGACAATACTGGTGTTTACTGAATGCTGTTTTGTGCCAGAATCTGAGAGGTTTCAGAGACAGCAATGAAAAGAGAGTGTCAGGATCAGCTCTTGTTTAATGAGTATTTCAGTGGGTGAAGGTTGAGCTCCTAAGAAAAGTAAGGTTGGGGATATAGGTCAAGTTATACTTGCCTATTGTGTGAGGCCCTGGGTTCAGTTCCCCAGTGAGGGAGTGTGTGTGCATGTCTGTCTGTCCATCTGTCCTAGCTACATGAGAGGCTGGGGCTTGAAAGTTGAAAGTTTAAGACCTGCCTGAGCTACACTCATGGGCAACCTAGGCTACATTCATAGGCAGCGTAGGTAGCTTAGTGAAATTCTTCCTCAAAATAAGTAAAGAAGTGTCAGGGGCTGCAGTTTAGTGCTGGAGCACTTACCCCAGCATGTAGAAGGCTCTAAACGCAATACCCAGAACAACTGGGGTGCCTGGGAGAGGAGTGATGCAGTAGCTGTGGAGAGGGGCATTGTCCAGTGAGTTGTTGGTGAGTGCCTGTAAGGGCTAAGGTCTGGGTGAATTGAAGGAAAATGTAAGACTGTACTCTTACATTACATGAGTGAAGAGGGCTCAGTAAATAGGAAAGGGAAGTAGATGCCAGCAGCAGCCAGCATTCAGATGTTTTTTCTGCACAGCAAGTACTGGGAGATCACTTGGGCGCTGTTGAAGTGATGCTTCTGGAGGTGCTGTTCTTAACATTTTACTGAGGAGGAAGCACATGGGAAGCTCAGTGGTTCACCACTAAGTGACAGAGGCACTTACATCCTCAATGAAGACTTCAGAGCCACTTAAGGGTCATAGGCAAAAACACAGTGTGCCATGTCTTAGTAGGAAGAACTAGACCTGAGTCAGTCAGAAGGCTATTGTGTTGACCTCAAGCAAGAGAAAGCAGTCACAGACTAGCATGGTCTTGGATATACTTGTAATAAAGCCAATCAAATGTGTTCATGGTAGGAGAACCCATGAGAGAATAGTCAGAAGAACTCAAGCCTTGGCCAAGGAAAGAGGGAGGTGTGTAGAGGGGCAGCAGGTATGGAGAGGGCTGGGAATTGGTTCTTTTTTTTTTGGGGGGGGGGATTTAAGACAGGGTCAAGGTGTGTATCCCAAGCTGGCCTTGAACTGTGGTCCTCCTGTCTCAGCCTCAAGTGCTGGGATTACAGGCAGATGTCACCATACCCAGCTTCCAGTGCCATTTTAAATAGATGAGTTTGAGATACCTTATATGTCCAGAAAGAGGTGTCATGTTGGCATTTGAATATAAAAAAACTGGAGCTAAGGGATCAGAACTCTTTTGTGGGGTTCATCAGCATAGAAATTCTATCTTAGACCCTAGATCTAGGTAAATTACCTGGGGAAGTGAGAGTGGACAGACCACCCATATAGCATGCTAATCCACAGGCGGTGGAGAGATAAGAGGGACCTAGGGGGCAAAAAGTTTCATCTGTAAAGCGGAACTGGGAGTAGCATCCTGAAAGCCTCTAAGGATGGAAAATGTTTCTGGAAGAAAGAATCAGTTATGTCACCACTTGCTGATAGGTTGAGAGATGAAGATTAACAGTTGCTCAAGGGATTAAGCTGCTGAGTCCTTCCTTAGCTTCTTTGTCAAACAGCTAGTGTAGTGATGGAATGAAGTGGTGCTGGAAGTGTTCTGGAGAGGGGGTTGTTGATAGTGGAGACTGAAAAAGATCCAACAGGTGAACCTTAATTAAATCCTGGATTGGGGTAACACTATACAAAACAGTTTGAAGAGCCAGGCGTGGTGGCACATGCCTTTAATCTCAGAGGAGGCAGAGGCAAGTGGATCTCTGAGTTTGAAGCCAGCCTGGTCTATAGAGAGAGTTCTCTACACAGAGAAACTCTGTTTCGGGCGGGGGCGGGGGGCGGGAAGAGAGCATTTTGGAGGTAGAGAAACTTGAATGTAGAATTGATGTAAGTGATACTAGGAAATTACTACTGGTTCATAGGAAAATGTTCTTAATTGTCACTCTGTCTGCAGCTAGCTTAAGTAGCTAAGTAAAAGTTGGTGTGTGTGTGCATGTATACATGAAGAGTCATGCACAGAAAAATTCAGACCTACTATTTATTCAGTCTAGGTTCAGGGGGCATGACTATTCCTTGTATTGTATTTTCAACCTGTCTGTATGAAATGGCTGCAAAAACTTGGTAGTAGACAAAGTAAATGGGAACCAAGGAACCAGAAACCAAATGCAGGCTACGATGGTCTTGCTGCAAATATGAGGTGTGGAGGGATCTGGGAGAGTCAGGCTTTTGTTTGAGACAGCATGGTTTGTAGTACTGATGGTACCTGTGTCACTTTATTTGCACGTCAGTCTAGCTCCTGTTTAGGGCTTTATTTCTCAGCCAGAGTCAGTCTGTTAATGGGTAATCATAGACTTACGTTATCATAGACTTACGTTATCATAGATTTACGTTACTTAATGTTTTTTTTTTTTTCTGCTTAAATAGCGATATTTTTTGACTTGTTTTCTGCAGGTTGTAGGAAGTGTCCTGTATTTTACTAATTTTTGCCTTGATAAATTGGGGCAACCGCTACTAAATGAAAACCCTCAGCTTACGGAAGGATGGGAAATACCCAAGTATCCTACATAGTGAATGAAGATCTTTTATGCATCTTGCCACTAAGTTCACCTTTAAAAAAAAAAAGCTTACCAAATTTTGCAGACTATGATAACTATTCCTTAATAAAATTCACTAAAGGTACCAGCAAGTCTTCAGCCACATTGTTTCTCTAGAAGGGCAAGAAATGCAAGTAAAGGCAAAAAGGTTTGTGTGGGGCGTTGTCTTGTTTTACTCTTTGTTTCCTAATACTAGAACTATAAACTCTTATCAACTCTTAAAGTTAATATTCTTTGTTGCTGGTTTGATATAAATTTCACATGGAGCTAGAATCCTGCTATCTCAAGATAAATGTTGAATGTTTAAATTGATCAACCATTTCTTGGAATTCAGGCCTGCTGCCTGGGAGGGTGGAGAGAAGTTACTATGGCTGGCAGTATGGTTACAGTCTCAGAACCATCTGCCTTCTTCCCATGTTACCTGAAGGAAGTGATGCTCTGTTTGCTTTGATTCTTCTGTTACTAATCACTGAAAAAAGCCGAGAGGTAGCATACCAATGTGGAGCGGAGCGGGCTGGTTCTTGGTTAAAGGACTACAAGTGCTGCTTATGTAACTTGAGTACAAGACACATCGCTGTGCTCAACAGTTGCAGATACTGTGCACCCCATCTTCTACTTCTCTGGCACTCCGATGCCATTAGAATGTATTGATTTGTTTTTCTGTTACCATGTACATCATGAAAATCTTTGGATTTCTCTTGTTTTGTGTTCTGATAGGCCAAAGCCTCACTGTTTCAACTGTGGTTCTGAAGAGCATCAGATGAAGGAGTGCCCAATGGTAAATCTCTCATGAGCAGAATGTCTGTGAACAGTAGCTGGTGGATATGTTATCTGTATGTGGCTCTGATTAATATGCATGAAATTCCTGTGCTACATTCATTTGTGCTTTAATCTTTTCAAATTCCTGCTTACATTTAAGATATTGAAATTTTTCAAGAAAATAGCATAATGTTCTGTATTTGAGGTAAATGAAGTATGAGTTAATTTTTGGGTAGTATATTTTAAAAAGTTAAAGTTAGGGTTGAGGATTTACTTCAGTGGTAGAGTGCTTGCCTAGCACGCATAAGGCCCTGGGTTCAGTCCTCAGCTCTTAGGGGAGGGAAAAAAAAAAAAAAAAAGGTTAGAGCTGGGAGGTAGTGGTACATGCCTTTAATCGCAGTACTAGGGAGGCAGAGCCAGCTGAATCTCTTGAGTTTGAGGCTAGCTTGCTTTACAAAGTAAGTTCCAGAACAGCCAGGGCTACACAGAGAAACCCTGTCTTGAGAAACAAACAAAAAAACTAAGTTAAATTTAGGTTTTGATAACACTAAAATTTAAAAAAAAAAATTAAAGTGACTTTTTTCTTGCTTGCTTTTCAAAAATGTCTGAACACTTTTATGTGTATAATATACATTAAAACTAGAATAGTCTATTTTATGCTTTACATTTCAAAAAGTGAGTATTCTTAGTAAATTTCTGAGCTATTTCTAAATTGCTTGATACCATTCTTTTCAAACATTATTATGATTTAGCCTCGGAATGCTGCTCGAATAAGTGAAAAGAGAAAAGAGTATATGGATGCCTGTGGTGAGGTAAACAGTCAGAGTTTTCAGCAGCGCTATCATGCAGAAGAAGTAGAAGAGAGGTTTGGAAGATTCAAGCCAGGAGTTATTAGGTACCTATTGTTTTACCATGGGGTATCATTTTTATTTTCTCATTATTTGGAACATGCTGACTCTTCTGGGGATTACAAGAATATAAACATGAGCCAGGTGTGTACATTTAATCCCAGCACCCTGGGAGGCAGAGGCAGGCGGATATCTGTGAGTTCAGGGCCAGCCTGGTCTACAAAGTCCAGGACAGCCAAGGCTACACAGAGAAACCCAGTCTCAAAAAACAAAACAAAGCAAAAGACAAAGAATATAAGCCTGTGTAATAAGTCTGTACAGAATGCATCCATTCATTCAAACCTACTTATCAAAGGCTTGATACGTGTCATACTTGATGCTATATATTATGGGACAGACATGTTTTAGCTAGACATGGTAGCCCATGCTTGTGATCCCAGCAGCTGGAAGTCTGAAGCAGGACAATCCTCATAAATTCTAAGTGAGCCTGGGCTACAGAATGGGAGCCCTGTCTTAAGAAAAATCTGGATTTGGAGAGAAGGCTTGGAAGTTAAGAGCGCTGGCTGCTCTTTCGGAGGGCCAGGTTTGATTCCTAGTGCCCACAGGATGACTCAGAACTCTATTTGTAACTCCAGTTCCCAGGGATCTGATGGCCTCTTATGCCCTCTTATGGGCACCAGGTGTACACGTGTGGAATGGGCATGCATATAGGCATAAACACTCAGACATATAAAAATGATAATAAATCTTTTTAAAAAGAAAGATGCCAGAATCGTGTTTTCATGCAAATTGGGATTCACCCTCTTTTCTCCCCTTTATTTTTACTTAGTGAGGAACTTCAAGATGCATTGGGTGTGACAGACAAGAGTCTTCCCCCTTTCATCTACCGCATGCGCCAGCTGGGCTACCCACCAGGCTGGCTCAAGGAGGCTGAATTGGAGAATTCGGGGCTTGCACTCTATGATGGAAATGGTACTGTATGTTTGCATAGAGAAGTCACTTACGGGTCTTTTATTTTCTCTCTCTCTCTCTCTCTCTCTCCATGTTAATTAAGATTATTAATCAGGGATGGGAGAGATGGCTCAGCCGTTCAGATCACTGCTCTTCCAGAGGATCTGGGTTCAATTCCCTGATGTGCATGCAATACACATGAAAAAAGACTATTAGCCATAAGCTGGGCGTGGTGGTGCACACCTTTAATTTCAGCACTCCGGAGATAGAGGCAGGCAGATCTCTGTGAGCTTAAGGCCAGCCTGGTCTACAAAGTGAATTTAAGACAGCCGAAGTTACACAGAGAAACCCTGTCTCAGGGTAAAAAACAAAAAACAAAAAAACAAAACAACAACAGAAAGAAAAAACAACCAGAAAATTCCAGGATAGCCAGGGCTGTTAAATTATTCTAAGATTTTATTTATTTATTTAACATGTGATGCTCTGCCTGCATATACTCCCACATGCCAGAAGAGGGCATCAGATTCCAGTATAGATGGTTGTGAGCCACCATGTGGTTGCTGGGAATTGAACTCAGAACCTCTGGGAAAGCAACCACTGAGCCATCTCTCCAGCCCTAGTTTGGGTTTCTCTGTGTAGCCCTGGCTGTCCTAGAACTCACTCTATAGACCAGGCCTGCTTGGAACTCACCTGTCTCTGCCTTCCAAGTGCTAGAATTAAAGGCATCTGCCACCACTACCCAGCTAAATCTTCTGTTGTTGTTGTTGTTTTGAGACAGAATCTATATCCCAGACTGGCCTGGAACTTGCCGTGAGTTAAAGCTGACCTTGAAGTCCTGCCTCAGCCTCCTAAATGTTGGGGTCATAGGTTGCCCTGCCCAGAGCCTATTTAAATTTATGATGGTTCAGGAAAATGACAAGTAGACATTCTCAGACTAATTCCATTATAGTATTTCAGCACTTTCCTTGTGTGGTTTGATGTGGGGAGGGACATGTTTGGTGTCTAGCCAAATTAACTTTTTCCCCCCCCCCAATAGATGATACTGATGGGGAAACAGAAACTGGAGAAATACAGAATAAAAATGTCACTTATGATCTCTCAAAATTGGTAAACTATCCAGGGTTTAATATATCTACTCCCAGAGGTATTCCAGATGTAAGTACATTTTAAATTCTTCTTCTGAAATGTGATAAAGATTTTCAAAATATCAATATATGTAGCAGTTTGTTACATAAAGAAGTGAGTGAGTTCATAGTGTAACCTGTAATCATAGTGCTTGGGAAGAGGAGGCGAAATGAAGTGAGGCTTTACTGACAGGTGTCAGCTTTTCATTTGTTAGGCAGGTCTCGTTGCAGACTGGCCTGATCCCCACCCCCCCACCCCCGATGTTAGGATTACAGTGTGCAAGCACATTTTGCTGCATGCAGCGCTGACGTGGGTGCTAAGAGCCAAACTCAGGTTATCAGGCTTGTACTACAATTCTTTATGCACTAAACCATCCCTCCCAAGACTTTTTTGGTTTTTTTAGACAGGGTCTCTCTGTGTAGCCCTAGCTGTCCTAGAACTCACTCTGTAGACCAGGCTGGCCTCTAACTCAGAGATTCTACCTCTGCCTCCCTAACATACATTCAGTCCTGGAAATTAACTCAGAACCTCTTTTATGTGCTAATGCCACTTGTTACTGGGCTATATCCCAACCCTGGTTTCTCTTATTAATTAGAATAGTAAGTGTAAAGCTGTATGTGTCAAAGGTGTGGGTTTTTCTGATACCTCCTAAGCAAAATGAAGAAGCAAAAGTTAGTTGGTCAGGCCTGGACAGATGATTCAGTGGTTAAAAACACTGGCTTCTCTTCCAGAGGTCCTAAGTTCAATTCCTAGCAACCACATGATGGCTCATAACTATCTATACTGGGATCTGATGCCTTTTTCTGGCATGCATGTGTACATGTAAATAGAGCACTCATATACAGAAAATATATACATACGTACATCTTTTTTTTTTTTTAAAGTCATCCCTTTATTCCCAGTACTCGGGAGGCAGAGGCAGGCAGATCTCTGAATTCAAGGCCAGCTTGATCTATAAAGGAAGTCCAGGACAGCCAGCCAAGGCTACACAGAGAAACCCTGTCCCGAAAAACAAAACAAAGTCAGTATAATCCTAAAACTAGCAGCAACCTCAATCAGAGTCTGAGCCTCAGAAGAGCATCCAGAAGTATGATGTTGTATGATGGCGCACACCTTTAATCTCTGTGAGTTCCAGGTCGGTGGACACTGCATAATAGACCTCAAAAACAAACAAACAAACAACCCAACACTATTAAGACTATTTTGAAACCAATTTCTTAAAGTAGTCTTTTAGGTAGTCGTACAGGTATTTTACTTAAAAAATGAAATTCTCCCTTAATATGACTACCTGTTATACAGCGCTTCCATCTCTTTTTCTGTGGGGGTTTTTTTTTCCTGTTTGTGGTAAATTTCTTGCTGTATGAATAGCTGAATAGCTGTTTCACATTCACTGTTGTCTGTCAGCAGCTTTCATCCATGTTTCAAGACTAAACAGTGAGCTGCTTTGATGGTGGTGGCAGGTTTTGGTCTTGGTTTTTTTGTTTGAGATGGTTTTGATTCAGTGATGTTCCTTCTGCCTCTTCCAAGTCCTGGGGTCCTAAGTCTAGTTTTACAGTTTTTATTGCTATTTTCTAGTTTGCATACAAAGTTTCATTGGGACATTTCTATTTGGGGATATTTATGAGGTTGTTGAAATGGGTTCTTCCGCTGTAGTGCTGAAAAACATTGAAGTTACTGTGTTGCTTAATCTGGCCTGGGATTTGCAGCAGCCCTTATGCCTCATCCTCCTGAATGCTAAAAGCAAAATCTCAAAAGGGTGATGTTTTCCAAATCCACTAATGTTTTGTCTTCCACCATAGGAATGGAGAATGTTCGGTTCCATACCAATGCAGGCATGTCAGCAGAAGGATGTGTTTGCCAGTTACCTTACTTCTAACATCCAGTCGGTAAGAGTGTGTGTGTGTGTGTGTGTGTGTGTGTGTGTGTGTGTGTGAGAGAGAGAGAGAGAGAGAGAGAATGTGTGTGTATGTGAGAGAGATATTGAGAACTGAACCTAGGATCTCAGATGTGCTAGGCAAGCCCTCTACTATTAAACTCCATTCCTAGCATCAGTACATAGATTTATTTATTTCTTTATTTTTTAATGTATGTGGATGTTTTATCTGACTGTACACCTGCATGCCAGAAGAGGGCATGAGATCCCATTATAGATGGTTGTGAGCCACCATGTGGTTGCTGGGAATTAGACTCAGGACTTCTGGAAGAGCAGACAATCCTCTTAACTGCTGAGCCATCTCTCCAGCCCAGTACATAGATTTTAAGGGCATAGTTGGCAAATGTTTGTGGTTCTGAGATTTTACAGTTCATTAGTATCTTGCTGTTCTTTCTGGTTTATATTATAAAAGCTATTGCTTGATTGTGGACTGGTTTAAGTATGGGTTAGAGGTTCTCTGCCCTGTCTCACTCGTGTTCTTGTTGGTTACTCACTAGCTGAGCATGAGGTCTAGCAGCAAGCGATCTTCCTCTCAATCCAGCCCTAATAGTCCCAAGAAGCAGCGGAAAGAGGGCAGCTCAGCAGCCTCCCCTGCAGACATGGAGCTTGACTCAGGTAAGTTTCGTGATTTTGATTCCTTGAGAAAGCAAGATCAGTCTGATTGCTCTTAGGTTTGGTATGAAGATCAGAACTTCCCCATACGTACTTTCCCAATCCGTAGCTATCAGAGCATTGCCACTGTCACTGGTAAAGCCTAAATTGGAAGCCACACTTGGTCTGAGTGTAGAGGAGTCTGGCTGGAGTACAAAAGCCTTTAATCTAGGAGACAGGCAAGCAGATCTGAGTTCAAGGCCAACCTGGTATGGAACAAGTTTCAGGTAAAGAAAAGTATAGGTCCAGGTGTGGTGGTATACGCCCTTAATCTTAAACAATGAAGATAAAGTTAGTTTGTAGAAGGAAGCACCCATGTTTGAAAGTGTCTAATTGAGTGGCAGAAAAAGTGACAAATCAGAGAAAGACTTGACAGAATAAGATAGGCCCAACAGAGGAAAGGGAACCTACTTAAGGAAGCTACACAGAGAATGAGAGAGGCATTAGGAGGCAGAGACAGGTGGATCTCTATGTGTTCAAGGCTAGATTGTCCTACACAGACAGTTCCAATTCAGCCAGGTCTACAAAGTGAGACCCTGTCTTAAAATAATAACTTTTTTTTTTTTTCTACCAGGACTTCACCATCACTTAGGGATTACAGACTGTCACTGTATTTTAAAACATATAATGTACAATGAATGGTACATAGAGAACAACAGTGTGACATAGCTGCCACAGAGCTGATTACAGAACATAGTGATACCAACTTTGAATTGTATCTTGAGGAGAGAACTCTAGGCCTTAGCAGAGAGTTGAGCAGGTGCAGGAGGAGCACTTGAAGAGGTGGGAGATGTACACACAGAAGCATGGCTTGCAGCCTATTAGGCCAGCAGCAGAGAAACAGCTAGACAGTAGAGGTAACCAAGGAAAAGCCAACAGGCCTTTTGCCACTGCTGCATGTGCTGAGCAGACGCTCTGCCTCTGACCTATATCCCAGCCTCTTTTCTTTTCTTTTTTTTTTTTTTTCTTTTGTGACAGTGTTTCTCTGTATAGCCTTGACTGTCCTGGACTCAATTTGTAGTCCAGGCTGGCCTCATACTCACAGCAGTCCACCTGTCTCTGCCTCACTAACTGTTGGGATTACAGTTGTGTGCCACCGTGCTCGGCCCCAGCCTCCTTTCTGCCCTTATAGGACAGTACCAGAAAGATATCTAGGCTGGGCTTGAACATGAGAGTTCTTCTGCCTCAGCATCCTTGGTAGTTGGATTACAGATCTGCACTGTCAGGCCAGGTTGAGAAATTCTGGATCATAAAAGACTTCTAGGCATGAAGCAGTGCTGGACTTCATCCTTTAGGGCATGGATGGTGCCTAAGGCTCTCATTAAACTGTTTCATAAGATCAGGTGGCTGTTTTAGAAAGAGGTATCTGGCTAGCTTGGAGAATGGATGTAAGGAGGATGAATCCAGGAGTGAGGGAGGCTTGCTTTTTCTGACAATGTCAGCAGATCTGGAATAAGGTGGTGACCGACATGGTAGGGGACTTCAGGGAGCCCATTCAGTGACAGCACCTTCCTAGGATCTCTTCATATCTCCATGACTCATGTTTCCTCCATCTGAAACTATGTATAGTACAGGGTAGCTCTCCCAAGGATTTGAATCACATTCCTTAGTGCCCAGATCCAGAGCACTCTCCCTGACGTGGCTTCCTCAGGACTGAAGACATCCAGCCATGGTGATGGCATCTGAAAGTTCATGGGTTTTCCCTTTTTCTGTTTTTTTGAGACTGTAGCCCAGGCTGGCCATTTGAGTGCTAGCATTTACAGGCATTGGCCACCATGTCCAACCCTTTTCTGCCTTCTCAAAGATGGTTGTTTATGGCCATTCTATCTCTAGGTACCCCCAAGTTCAAATAATAAATTTGTATGAAGTGCTATGACTCCTAGAGCATCTTTCTCATTTCAGATATAGAGGTTCCTCCTGGTTCTCAAAACAGCAAAACGTTTCAGTTTCAACCACCATTGCCTCCTGGCACACCTCCTCCGCTGCCACAGGGAACACCTCCACCTCTCTTCACTCCTCCACTCCCTAAGGGCACCCCACCACTGACTCCCAGCGACTCACCCCAGACCCGACCCATAGCCATGGATGAGGATGCCCTGACTCTGGAGGAGCTTGAAGAGCAGCAGAGGCAGATCTGGGCAGCTCTCCAGCAGGCTGAGGGAGGCAACAGTGACTCCGATGTTCCTGTGGACACACCTTTAACTGGGAATTCAGTCGCCTCCTCCCCTTGTCCAAATGAGTTTGAACTCCCTGTCCCAGAAGGAAAGGCCCTGGAAAAGCCAGTGCCGGCTGAGCCCCAGGGGCCAACTGCTACTGTGGAGACAGCTGGACCTGAGCCTCCCTCCAGCCCAGTGGCCGGGGCAGCAGTGCTCTGTCAGAAAGAAGAGGAAGTCACTGCAGAGGGGGACCCTGGAGATGCTCTTCTTGACAATGGTGATGTGTCAAACTGTGACATGAGCAATGGAGGCAGCCAGCAGCTCCTTCATCTGGACACCCAGCCTCCGACAGCTTCAAAAATCCACAGCCCGGTACCTGACATGAGCAAGTTTGCCCTTGGAATAACACCCTTTGAATTTGAGAACATGGCTGAATCCACTGGAATGTACCTCAGGATAAGAAACCTGTTAAAGAATTCACCCCGAAATCAGCAGAAAAACAAAAAGGCTCCTGAGTAAGGCCCCGCCGCAGCGCTGGCTGCGCGATGATCTGCAGCTCTGCGTTGTCCCCCCGACTGTGATGACAGGTGAAGCCACTTCCCGTTTGCCCTTCCCACCTTCCAGAATCTGCCCACAGGTTAACTGTGATCTCAGCCCAAGCCTGTTTTATGCAATGAAGGACTGGGCATGCGAGTGTGCTGTTTTATTCTCACTTGCCATAACCTGGGGTGTGCACATGAGCTGGTTCAGAGATGGTTGGTCTGGGGTATAGCGTTTGTGGATTGTGAGTGTCTGTCAAGAGGGAAGGGTTTTCCTTTGTTTGTTCTTTTTTTTTTTTAAATGTCTTTTGTAAATTGTTTTCCCTTTCTACATTTTGCTATTATCCTGTATATATAAGCTTAATATATCACTTTTTAAAAGAAGATTCTAACAATTTTAAATTCACATTTCAATTCCAACACCAAATGAGAAAAATCAGGGATGAGCAGCTTTATCCTGCTTGGGTTATTTTTGTAAGATTTTCATGCATGAATTTTAATAACACTTTTACTTTTTGTAATTTAATTATTCAAAAATGCTTCCAATAAAGGTGTGCTCACCTTCGTGTACAGAGGTTTAATAAATTAGTTTTCTTACATATGAACCAAGACTTTGGGTAGATGTGACTCACAGTTAATTGGTTTTTAAACTTGGACAAAAATTATGTGGTTGCAAAGAAACTGGATGTTTGGGCTGCTTTAAATGGATCCAGCCTTCTGTGTAATAATAGAGACAGATTTGTTTAATTATTTTCAGAAAAACATGGAGGTCAGCTAGCCTTTGTTCAAGGTAATATTGTGGATGTGATCCATAAGGTGATAGTTAGACAGACATGAACTGAGTGTGACTGTGTAGTGTGCCAAGCTGCAGCTGAGTCTGGTCCTCTGGGTACCAACAAGTCTCTGCCAGGTCAGGCTCAGGAACACTTGGAGATCTTTATACTCGCGTAGTGTTATGCTGCTCCATAGCCAACAGAGGGCGTGAAATGCTCTCTGTCTGGATTTAGGTGACATTTTTGAGAACTTGAGTACTTGCTTGTAAACAATAAAGTCAAGGATCACAAGAAAGAATGAATAAGGCCACCACAGTAGAAGAAAATGTAAGTACTTGGATCTTTTCTGACTTGTGAGTTTCAAGTGCATTCTTGAGGGGTTTACATGATACTGTGACCTCCAGCCTTTCTAGCAGGCCTGTTACAAGGAAGGGAGGTCAGGGAGGCATAGAGAAGATAAGGGGTCTTGTCAACATTAAACATTTTTTCTCTCTCATTTCTTTTTCTTTTGCAGTAGGATATTGCTTTGTAGCCCAGGCTAGTCTTGTTCACAGTCTTCTTGATACTACCTATCTACTGCTAGGATTACAGGCAAAAAGACATGGTTCTTTTTTAGAAACATTTATTTATAGAGTAGGGGCAATTCCTTGGCATGCATAGAGGTTAGAAGACAGTGTGTGGAGTTCCATGTTCTCCCCCCATCATTATGTGTCTCCATCAAGCACCTTACTTGATGGGTGAGCTCACCATCGTGAAAATGACATCGACCTCTTCGATCTTCCTGCCTCCACCTCCCTGATTCCTGATTAAAGGTGTGCACTTCCAGTTGGTAGGGATCCAACCCAGAGCATTGTGTGTGTGCTAGGTAAGCACTAAATACTTAGCTGATTTCTAAGTCAGAAGTAATTATATCGCTCTGTTTGGTGGCTTATGCTTGGAAATCCTAGCAGTTGAGAGGTACACTGAAGGATCAGGACCAGCTTCGGCTACATGAGATACTGCCTCAGAAAAGAAAAGAAAAAGTTAAGTGTTCCTTTAACTATTAATACAATAGCTGGTATCTTCTGAATATTGAGATAGCTCAACAACTATCCAGCCCATAAATAACCCTGTTAAGTTATAGATTACACCATTTTCACATTATTGGGTAGGTATTATCTTTTTTTTTTTTTTTTAACAAATGTCTAAGACATAGATGCCAAATTGTAAATAAACTTAGATCTTTCACCTCTGTATCCAAGCTATTTTTTTTTATTTTAGTTTTAAATTTTTTAATTAATATGTGCGCATGTGTGTGCTCAGGTGCTCTTGCAGCCCAGAAGATGGCATTGGATCTTCTGGAGCTCCAGTTGCATGCAGGGGGTTATGAGCTGATATCAGTGTTGGGAACCAAACCTGGGTCCTCTTCGAGAGCAACAAATTTAAAGGCTTAGCTACTTCTCCAGCCCTGAATTTCAGATCTTATCTGCTGTTTGGTTTCCCTGTGAGAGGCTCTACAAAAGTATTGGTTTCTCTTTTTTTTTTTTTTTTTTTTTTTTTTCAGTTACTTAGGGCTAGAATCGTAGCCAAACGGTAGCTTGCCTGACACGCATGAGGCCCTAGGTTTGATCCCAGTATCAGGAAGAAAAAAATTTGACATTTACTCACCAGGGAACACTTGCAGCAAATAGACAGAAGGTAGTAGTAAGTTGGGAGTAGTGGTTCCTGCATGTAATCCCAGCACTGGGAGACTGAGGCAGAGAGAAAAGTTGTAGGCCAAGACCCTATCTCAGAAAGAAAAGAGAAATGCTGGAAGTCAGCCTTTCCTTTGAAGGAGTGTCTATGCTTTCTGGGCCCCAGCACATGGCATATGGCAGTAGGAGAACATATGGCAGTGGGAGAAGCCTAGGGAAAGCCATTGGCTTAACCACTGATCAGAGGCTCAAGGCAACTAGCAAGAGAAAATTCCTGAACCAGTCCTTAAAGCATAAGGAAGATATTACAGACCAAATGCACATTGAAAGAAACAAAAGGGGCCAGCAGGATGGCTCAGTACGGAAAGCTGTTTGCCACCATTTCTGGAAATTTGAGCTCAATCCCCAGGATCCATGTAGTGGAAAGAAAACCAAGTTGAGCTCTGACCTCCATGTGTACATTATGGTACCTACACACAACATTTTTAAAGAAATGTTCTCTGCTGTGTTTAGGAAAAGAATGATGAGGAGAAGGAGGGATTGTTTCGACTTGTCAGTGCTGTCACCTGGTGTCCAGGTGTGGGCAAGTGAGGCAATAACCAAACACTCAGAAGTAGACGGAGGAGCAGGGGTGGAGATCTGTTTGTCCTGCCTGGTAAGCCACGGGTTGCTACAACAAGCCAGCTCTCATTTTCTTGAGCAAGTGGAAAGAAGGCACTGCCCTGAATAAACCACAAGGCCTCCGATGCTTTCTTCAAAAAGCTTGTATCTCGGTTCCACAGGTTCCCTCCTAAGTGACTGGATTTTCAAGTTTTTTGCAAGAATGCTTTGGATTTATTGGGTTTCTCTGTGTATCAAGTCCTGGCTGGCCTGGACTTGCTTTGTAGGCCAGGCTGGCCTTGAACTCACAGAGACCAACCTGCCTCCACCTCGCAAGTGCTGGGATTAAATGGATGCCACTACCACCAGGCTTCCTGACTTTTTTAAAATATACATTTTTATTTTATTTTGTGTATGTGCGTGTAAATGTCACAGTGCACATGTGAAATCAGGGGACAACTTGTGGCAGTCAGTTCTGTCCTAACATGTGGGTCATGGGGATAGAACTCGGATCATTTTTGAAAACAAGCACCTTTTTCTACTGATTCATCTCACTGCCCTCATTTGATTCCCGGCCCTCTCCCTGTCTTGCAGTTTAAAGATTACCATGAGCAGACAAAACCAATAAGAGTGTCGTAACAATTTTTAGTGCTTAAGAAGCTTCTAAGGTATGACTCATTCTCTGAGGTTACAATGCCTTCAGTCTGTGTTTCCGGGCCTTAGCAAAATTCCCAGTCCTTCAGTCTCAGGTTCATTTTATGTCAGATCACTTCAGACTGTTTAGGAATAAGTGATTTTAGTAAAGGAGTACTTATTGGAGGTTCACCTCTATAACCCCAGCCTGGGATTTAGAGAAACACACAGGACATGGTCCCGAATCAACCAGTGCATTTATAGCATGTTTTTTTTTTTTCTATGAATTTTCTGTTTATATTTTTTCCCTTTATTTATTGGGTTACTTAGTGACGTGTTGTAATTCTGTAGAAAGACCCTCAGGTCTGGGAATGCAGCTCAGGTGGCCGAGTGCTCACCCAGCATGCACAAACCCCAACCCCAGCACCTTATACCCCAGCATGGTGGTGTAGGCCCGCATTCCCAGCACTCATTCCCAGCAGACAGGAGAAGTAGGAGACCATGGTCATCCTCAGCTACATAGCAACTTACAGCCAGCCTAGAATACACAAGACTCGGTCTCAAAATAAAATTTATCAATTTAAGAAATGGGGGCTGAAAAGATGGCTCAGCGGTTCAAGGTGCTTGCCACCAAGCCTGAAAACCTGAATTCTAATCCTCAGGACCCTCATGGTAGAATTGGCTGAGCATGGTGGCACACACCTTTAATCTCAACACTAGAGAGGCAGAGGCAAGTGGATCTATGCGAATTTTAAGTCTAGCCTGGTCTGCATATAAAGTTCTAGGCTAGCAGAGCTACATAGACTGTCTCTCAAAAGACCAATATGTATTATTTATATATGTGTAACCTCAATTCTTTTACTATATCTAAAGCAATGGGAAATTCATTTTTAAAACTGCCAGTGATGTGGTTATGTTTGGAATTTTGTAACCCAAGGAGGGACTGTAACGATAAGGGCCAGAGCCTTTATCCGGCTATCAGGGCTCTCAGCTGACACCACTCCTCTGCAGGGTGACCTCATAATACAATGAGTTCTCAATTTCAGTCGCAGAGGCTTGGGCATTAGTCATAACTGAGAATGACAAGTGAAACTGGATCCAGACAGGCTGTGGGATCCAACCCAAGGCAAACTTCTCACGGACTGAGGAGTTTCTGTCTCTTCCACAAGCTGGCTGTGCTTGTCCTGACCTGGGCCTCTGAAACAACCACAGTTCTATTCACAGGACCAGTCCAGATTATTCTAAAGCTTTTGAATAGTCATGATCACTGAGGACTAATGAGCCCTGGTATGGTTGAAAATGGTTTCATGACAGTAAGAAGTCAGGTTTAGCAGATGGGTAGCAGAAGAACATGTTGCCTAGCTGCCATGGTGGCACACACCATGGAATCACAGCTCTAGGAAAACTGAGACAGGAGTCTTGTGACTCCCATGCTAGCCAGGGCTACACAGCAAAACCCTGTCTTACTGTATTAGTTTGGCTCTTCTTCGTTGTCATCTTCTCTAATTTTCTTTTTTTTTTTTTTACATTTTTTTTTTATTATACTTTGTGTGTATGTATGTGAGGGCGTACCAGGGCACATATCTGGAGGTCGTGGAACCACTTTGGGAGTCAGTTCTCACCTATCATGTAAGTCTTGGATTTGAACTTAGGTTCTCAAGCTCGGCACCAGGGACATTCTTGTCCACCTAGGCTTTTCGTTACTCTAATAAAATACCCATCACAGACAACTTGAGTGGGGTAGGATTTATTTGGGCATATGGTCCAACTCCACAGTCCTTGATTATCTTGATTTTAGACCCATGGTGAGGCAGAACATCACTATGACAGGAGTGTGTCTCAAAAGCTCAGGCTGATCATGGTGGCTCATGCCTTTAATCCCAGGAGGATCTC